TATTTTCCCGCTTTCTCACCCCTTCACCCTTCCCGGCATGTCTCTCTCAGATTTCATATGGAGGATATCGCAGAGGTCAGTAAAATCATTTCATTTGTATTCTAAAATCCCAGTTTTTTGGATAATTAAATCTCATTTTGCTCGAAAGGTTTGATTAGGAAATTTTTTTTAGATTTAGAGACCTGATTTTAAATTTGTGTTTTTCACTAGGTTTTAAAATGAATTTTTCTCTTCCATCCACCTAACTGGCTGTTTTATCAAAGAATTGACATATATTTCCATCCAAAATGCCCCTCTTTGATTTCAATACCACAATGATTTAAACAGTTATTTTGCTTCCGGTTAAAAAACCACTTCTTTTGCCCAAAAAAATTTTAATATATATTTTCAAATTTTTTTAATTATATTACTAAATTGATTAATATTGATCATATTATAAAGTTAATAAATATTATAACCTTAAATTTTTTTTTTTGCAATAATTTTAAATGTTTAATATCAATTGTTTAAACTTATTGATTTAGTAATCTTTTAAATAGGGAAAATTGCAAATAAAGACCCCTCAATATATAAAATAGTGATTAGGGATCCTAAATTTGGAAAATAGCTTCAGAGGACCCGGTCCCAAATTGCAAATATGAAATGATGGTGGAATGTCCAAAATGCCCTTTTGTTTTTTCTTTCTTCCTCTCCAGATCTTCTTCCCTTTCGTTCTTCTTTTCCTCTCTCTCTTTGTTCTTCTCTTTCTAAGTAGGAAGAAATGTTTTCATTTTCTGTATCGGATGCTCTCCATATATTATAGCTTGAGATGAAAGTGTACTATCTTTCGATTCACTCTTCCTTAAATCCATACCCAAAGGGGGATTTGAATATTGTCTTCTTTGTTATGTTCTTCCCCCTGATTCATTGATTAGTTTGTAAGTAGAAAATGAAGCTAAACACAGAGGGTTTCCCTTTAATATTCTTTGATTTTTTTCTTTGAGTTTATGTTCTCTTTATTCATAAATGATTGGCAATGTGCGAGTTCAATGATAAGCTTTATTTTGTTGGGAAGCTTTTGGAGCGTGGTGAAACTAAACTTTTATATTCCTTCTATTTTTTTGTTTTAAAAGAAAATATATAAACAATTGAAATCAAGGGCAATGCAAAAAGGGTAACGTAATGGACTAGAAAGCATGAGTTGTGCATTTTTCATCTTGTATGAAAACCTTATGAGAACTTGTTATTGGCCTAACTGAACTTATCAAGAATCCTATAGCAGAAGTGTTTGCTGTTAAAGAAATATGCAACTTCTCATTTCAAGAGAAAAATTTAAAATTGTATGAAAATCTTATCAAAACTTGTCATTGACCTAAGTGAACTTGTCATGAATCCTATATCAGAAGTGCTTGTTGTCAAGAAATCTACAAATTCTCATTTCAATAGAACAATTTAAAATTGTATGAAAACCTTATCAGAACTTGTCATTGGCCTTACTTAACTGTCATTGGCCTAACTAAACTTGTCATGAATCCTATATCAGAAGTGCTTGCTGTCAAAGAAACCTGCAAATTCTCATTTCAACAGAACAATTTAAAATTGTATAAAAACCTTATCAGAACTTGTCATTGGCCTTACTTAACTTGTCATTAGCCTAACTGAACTTGTCATGAATCCTATATCGGAAATGCTTGCTGTCAAAGAAATCTGCAAATTCTCATTTCAATAGAACAATTTAAAATTGTATGAAAACCTTATCGGAACTTGTTATTGGCCTTGCTTAACTTGTCATTGGCCTAACTGAACTTGTCATAAATCCTATATTAGAAGTGCTTGCTATCAAAGAAATTTGCAAATTCTCATTCAACAAAACAATTTAAAATTGTATGAAAATCTTATTAGAACTTGTCATTGGCCTTACTTAACATGTCATTGGCCTTATTGAACTTGTCATGAATTCTATATCAGAAGTGCTTACTGTCAAGAAATCTGAAAATTCTCATTTCAACAGAACAATTTAAAATTGTATAAAAATCTTATCGAAACTTGTCATTTACTGCTTATCAGAAGTGGCTGTTGTCAGAAATCAGCAAAGTTTAATTTCAACAAAGAAATTTTAAATTGTATGAAAATCTTATTGAACTTGTCATTGGCCTTATTGAACTTGTCACTGGCCTTACTGAACTTGTCATTTACTACTTATCAGAAGTGGTTGCTGTCAGAAATCTGCAAATTTTAATTTCAACAAAGAAATTTGAAATTGTATGAAAACCTTATGGGAACTTGTTATTTGTCATACTCAACTTGTTATTTGCCATAGTGAATTTGTTGCTTCGTAAATCAATGTGAAAATTCAGTCATTTCGACGGAGAAATTTGAAATTGTATGAAAACCTTATGGCAACTTGTCATTTGCCAAACTCAACTTGTCATTTGCCATAGTGAACTTGTCACTTTTGACAAGGTTTTTATACAATTTTAACTTGGCAAATAACAAGTTAAGTAAGGCTAATGACAAGTTCTGATAAGATTTTCATACAATCTTAAATTGTTCTGTTGAAATGAGAATTTACAGATTTCTTTGACAGCAAGCACTTTGATATATGATTCATAACAAGTTTAGTTAGGCCAATGACAAGTTAAGTAAGGCCAATGACAAGTTCCGATAAGATTTTCATACAATCTTAAATTGTTCTGTTGAAATGAGAATTTGCAGATTTCTTTGACAGCAAGCACTTCTGATATAGGATTCATGACGAGTTTAGTTAGGCCAATGACAAGTTAAGTAAGGCCAATGACAAGTTCCGATAAGGTTTTCAAATAATTTTAAATTGTTTTGTTGAAAGGAGAATTTGCAGATTTCTTTGACAGCAAGCACTTCTGATGTAGGATTCATGACAAGTTTAGTTAGGCCAATGACAAGTTCCGATAAGATTTTCATACAATATTAATTTCTCTGTTGAAATGAGAATTTGCAGGTTTCTTTGACAGCAAGCACTTCTCATATAGGATTCATAACAAGTTCAGTTAGGCCAATGACAAATTAAGTAAGGCCAATGACAAGTTCCGCTGAGGTTTCATACAATTTTAAATTTCTCTGTTGAAATGAGAATTTGTAGATTTCTTTGACAGCAAGCACTTCTGATATAGGATTCATGACAAGTTCAGTTAGGCCAATGAAAAGTTAAGTAAGGCCAATGACAAGTTTCAATAAGGTTTTCATATAATTTTAAATTTCTTTGTTGAAATGAGAATTTAAATAGCTCTACAATGTTACTATATATATGTTGTGAAGATTGAGGTTCAATCCGGAGCATCCATATGGTGGGCACAAAGTTATAATGAGAATCAAAATGATATCAAGACTAATCTCCCTTCTTATTTCATCACAATGTTGCTCCCAATCAATTTACATTCAAATAGTAAATAGATGGCGTATATTTTCCATTCGGAATAAATATCATTAGTTCATCTTATATAATAGTTCCTACTTCTCAGCTATCCATAGAAGGTGGGTTTGTGAGGATGTATCCTAGTTCCTAATATCATTAGGTGGCGTACTATTACTCGCGATCGAGTGAAGGAATCATGTCCTTTAGTTACTGCCTACAGCTCATAATCAAAGTTACGAGAAGCATTGAATGGACATTGGGTTTTTGTTTTCAGCGAAAAGCAACTTCTAGGTTGAGAGAGAGATAAAGATAGAGGAATCTAGGGAGAGAGATGGTGAATGCAATTAAAGTTTTAGAAGGTGGGTTTGTGAGGATGGAGTAGATGAAAATGGAGACGGCAAAAGAAATTGAGAGATGGATATTGAGAATGATTCCTTCCTATTATGAAAGAGAAGAATGAAGAAAGAGAGGAAAAAAAGAACGAAAGGGAAGAAGATCTGGAGATGAAGAAAGAGAAAAAACAGAAGGGCATTTTGGACATTCTACCAGCATTTCATATTTGCAATTTGGGACCAAGTCCTCTGAAGCTATTTTTCAAATTCAGGGTCCCTAATTGCTATTTTATATATTAGAGGATCTTTATTTGCAATTTTCCCTTTTAAATACATACATGTGTGGAAAACATATTTCAAGCTCATATATATATATATATGTATTTACTATTTTCAATTATATTATATGAATATAAATTATTATAGACCTGTATATGTATTTATTGTCAATTATATTACAAGAATATAAATTAATATAGACCTGCATATGTATAGTTAAACGTACATATGTTGAAAAGTTGATTAGGTTGTTAATGTTTTAAAATTATTAAACAGAAAATTATTTAAATGTTAAACAAACTATTAAAAGATAAATTAAAGATTTAGCATGATAAAAAGTAAATTGATAAATAAGATTTATCATAATATATTTTATAAATTTATCGCTCATACCTTTTAAATCGATACGCATATGAATGTCTAATGAAACCCAAAAAAAAAAAATGTTAACATTTTATAAAAAATATTTAGATAAATAGAAAATCTAATCTAATTAACATTAAAACGTGCAAATGTCCAGTGAGGAACAAAATTGTTTACATTCATTAATCATAATTTTATGAAATCCGAAAATTTCTTAAAAATTCAAAAACATTAACTATATCTTATATGCATGTGATTGTCTTCAATGATGAATATCTTTAAATCCGAAAATTATTCATTTAGGAGAAGAAATAATATTTTGTCTGGCAAAGAAAAATTTGATAAATAATAAAGCCCCTTATCTATAAAATATTCTTTGCAAAAACCAAATACAAGAAACCATATGTCCCCTTTCATTAAAAAAGGTCATTAAGAAACATTTTAATAAATACTATAGAAACTAAAATAATAATCAAAATTAAATCTATAAATCATCCGAATCAAATTTAGATATCTTAGAATTATTTTGTTTTAGATAGCAACCTGATAAATCAAAATTGACAGAGGCTTATAAATAAGTTCAGTGATCTCTATATAGTCTTCATATAGAAAAATTAGTCAATAAGAAGTCAAAAATTCTCTTTTACAGTTGTACGATGGAGAAAGAATTGATTCAACTGTTTGGAGCAGTGAAGAAGGCGGCAGACGCAGCGGCGGCTTCAACCGCCTGCGAGGTCGAAGAAAGCCAATGCCTTGATGCGTTCAAGATGCCCAAGAAATTTCCTGTCAATTATGAAATTCTAGTAGCAACTCAGGTAGGTAAACATCTAAGAGTTCTAACAAAGCATCCCAGAAAGAAGATCCAGACCTTCGCTATGGACATAGTAGAGATATGGAAAGCCATAATCATCAAGGGAATAAGCCCAAAAAAGAAAGTAAACCTTGAGAAAACTCATTGGAATGGGACATCAAACTCCGGAAAAGGAAATACCAAGGTACAAGGTTTAGAAAATATTTAAGTTTATATTATATAGATTTCAATTTCATTTTGATCTTTTCACCAGTAATTTATTATGACTTGGGATCAATGAGAAGTAGTTCTTGATGATATACATAGCATGTTTAAAATTTAATTAATCCAGTAATACCATATAACCAAAATTTTATAACGATGTTATTTAAAAATAACAAGCCATGTCGTTCATTTGCCATATATTTGGTCTTCAATATGAAAGGCAGATGTGATTTTAAACATATTATTTTGAATTAGTAAGGTAATTTAATTTATTTATTTTTAATCATTTATTAAATTTGTGAAGTACGATTTAAAAATTATTTATTACATATTAAAGTACTTATCATTCAAATTTGATGATTGCTAGTTACATATTTATGGCTCAGATATATCTCTCAAAAGCATACGTCTATGAAAGTCTAGTAAAACCAAAAGCTGGTTGAGATTATATGTAGCAGATTAAATATTTAGATAAAGAATGAATAATCTAATTACTATTAAAACGAACAAATGTTAACTGTGTTTTATGTATAGGATAGTCTTCAATGATTAATATATCTTTATATCTAAAATTTATCTCTTCGTTTATTTAGGAAAAAAAATCTAGTTCCATCTTTGCCAAATCAAAATACAAGAATCCATATATCCCCTTATCATAGGAAAAAGGTGATCGAGAAATATTTTAATAAATAATATTTAACTTATAAGAATAATTTAAATAATATCTATAAATCATCATAATCAAACTTAGATTTTTGTTTAAGATACAAGCCTTGATAAGGAGTCCAAATTGATCGAGCCTTAAAACTTCACGGATGTTCACATAACTTTCATATATTGAAAAGTTAACAAGGAGTTGAAATTCCCTTTTAGGATTCTACGATGGAGAAAGAATTGATCCAACTATATGAAGCAGTGACGAAGGCGGCAAACGCGGCAGCGACCTCAGCCACCGGCGAAGTCGAAGAAAATCGATGCCTTGATGTGTTGAAGCTGCTCAAGAAATTTCCCGTCAATTATCAAATTCTGACGTCAACCCAAGTGGGTAAACATCTAAGAGTTCTAAAAAAGCATCCCAGAAAGAAGATCCGGGCTTTCGCTATGGACCTTATAGGTACATGGAAAGTCATAATCATAAAGGAAATAAGCAAAAATGACGAAGAAAAAGTTAATTAGAAGGTTCTAAAGCCTGAGAAAACTGATGGGAATGGAACACCAAGCTCCGAACAAGCAGATTCTAACGGCACTGTTTCTGCAGAAAATGTTGAAGTTGAGAAGGTTGGGAAGACTCGTGTGAAAAGGCTTAAACTTAAGAAGACTGTCGTGGACATTGCCAAGGCTGAGAAAACTGATAGGAATATTGAGCCATCAACCTCCGAAAATGTAAAGGAAAAAGATTGCAATGTGGTTACAAGCGAGAAAACTGTTTCTGTCGCAAACATAGCCAAGAATGAGGAGAAGCAAGTTTCTGGAATCCTAAAGAAGGGATCCTCATCAAGCCCTGATTCTCCTTTAAAGCAGGAAAATATGATTAAAACTAACGATGAAAAGCGAGACAAAATGAGGGAAATTCTTCATGAGGCATTCTCTAGGGTTTCAGGGGAGGCTGATGAAGCAATCAAGGATCAAGTTAAAACTTGTGACCCTATTAGAGTTTCTGTTGCAGTGGAGTCTATGCTATTTCGGAACTGGGGCCATCTTAATGGAGCTCGGAAGATCAAGTACAGGTCCTTGATGTTTAACGTCAAGGATCCGAAAAACCCAGATTTCCGAAGAAGAGTTCTGGTCGGAGAATACTCGCCGGAGCGGCTCGGGGACATGAATATTGGAAGACTGATTCAAAAGTTAGTTACAGAAATATCTACCGAAGCTTGAGGAGTAAGAAGTGGGCACCGATAAAATAGGAATCCATGATGTTAGTGGTTATTTTCCTCTGTTTTTTAATTATCATTTATTTCAATTTGCTGTAACTGAATATGTTATAAATTCAGTATTGTACGCATCAGAATTTGGCGAATATAATCAGTTTTGCTTCTCTACAGTTTCACTCTCGTAGGCCTTGCATCTCTCTGTGTCTTTTTTTTTTTTCAGTGTTCATTCCCCCATAAAAAAACCATCAGTTTGGTATCAGAGCTGAGTCGGTCTGAGTAGGGCGTGATGGCAGTCAGTAACAATGGTGCAGTGAGTATTTCTCAACCTTCCATGCCCATTTTCAAAGGAGAAAATTATGAGTTCTGGAGCATTAAAATGAGAACTCTGTTTAAATCCCAAGAGCTGTGGGATTTGGTGGAAAATGGATATGATGAGAATGAAGAGGAGGCCAGAGTCAGAGAAAACAAGAGGAAGGACTCAAAGGCACTGTTTTTTATTCAGCAGGCAGTGGATGATTCCATCTTCTCCAAGATTGCAGCTGCTAAAACAGCAAAGGAAGCATGGTCAACCTTGTGGGTTGCATTCCATGGCTCTTCTACGGTGGTAAGAGTAAAGTTGCAAACTCTCCATCGTGAATTTCAGAACCTGCGCATGAAGAGTGAAGAGGTTGTGCAGGACTTTATGACAAAGATAGCAGCAGTTGTGAACCAGATGCGATCATTTGGAGAAGAGGTGTCAGAAAAAACAGTGGTAACACATGTATTGAGAAGTTTACCTCCTAAATTTGATCATGTAGTTGCAGCCATTGAAGAATCAAAGGATTTATCAGCTTATACATTTGATGAGCTGATGGGTTCTTTGCAGTCTCATGAAGCAAGAATTAACAGAAAAGGAGAGATGACAGAAGAGAAAGCTTTTCAAGCAAAGGGAGAAACTGAAAATCGTGCTGGTAGAGGAAGAGGCAGAGGAGGATTTAGAGGGAAGAATTCCAACCGTGGCAGAGGTGGAGGCAGATCTGATTACAAAGATAAAAGGAATATTCAGTGCCATAATTGCAAGAAATATGGGCACATGAAAGCTGAGTGCTGGTTCAAAGACAAACAGGCAAATTTTGCAGAAGCAGCTGATAGTGAAGACAAGCTGTTCATGGCATATGCTGATCAACCAAATGCAGAAGGTGAAGTTTGGTTTGTGGACAGTGGCTGCTCAAATCACATGACAGGGAAGAAGTCTTTCTTCACTGATCTTGATGAAACCCAAAAGAAGACAGTGAAGCTGGGTGATGACAAGGAGATGAGAGTTGAAGGAAAAGGAACAGTAGCAATCAACACTACTTCAGGTAAAACTAAGCTCTTGGAGAATGTTCAGCTTGTTAATAATTTAGCACACAATCTGCTGAGCGTAGGGCAGATAATGGAGAGTGGATATTCAGTTTTATTTGACAATAGAGAATGTGTTATAACACACAAGGCAACTAATCAAGTAATTGCAAGGATACCAATGACCAAAAACAGAATGTTCCCATTTGATGTTAAAGCTATGCAAGGTTATGCTCTAGTGGCTGGTGAGAAACACGTTTCTGAGGTGTGGCATTCACGCTATGGCCACCTAAACATCAATGGGCTGCAACTTCTCGAGAAAAGAGGTATGGTTTATGGCTTGCCAAAAATTTCTGCAATTAATATATGTGAGAATTGTGCTTATGGTAAGCAATCAAGGAAGTCATTTCCTGTAGCAAAGGCATGGAGAGCAACAAAATGTCTAGAGCTTGTTCATTCAGATCTGTGTGGCCCTATGGATACTAAATCCTTAGGTGGGAGTTATTATTTTTTGCTCTTTATTGATGATTTCAGCAGGATGAATTGGGTATATTTCCTAAAATCCAAATCAGAAACATTTGGGATGTTTAGGAAATTTAAGGCAATGGTTGAAAAGCAGAGTGATGCAAATATCAAAGTACTTCGTACAGACAGAGGAGGAGAGTTTACCTCATCAGATTTCAACCGATTTTGTGAAGAAAATGGCATAAAGCATGAGCTCACAGCACCTTACACACCAGAACAAAACGGTGTAGCAGAACGTAAAAATAGAACAGTGGTGGAAATGGCGAGGTGCTTGCTAAAAGAGAAAGGGTTGCCAAACACCTTTTGGGCAGAAGCTGTAGCTACAGCCGTGTACTTGCTGAATCTCTCCCCAACAAAAGCAGTACAAGATAGCACTCCCTATGAAGCATGGAAAGGGAGAAAACCTACTGTAAGCCATTTAAGAATATTTGGGTGTATTGCATATGTCTTTGTAAATTCCCAAAGTCGTCATAAACTTGATGGGAAATCACGAAAATGTATTTTTATTGGCTACTGTACTGAGTCTAAGGCATATAAGTTGTATGACCCTATAGCTGAGAAGATTGTTATTAGTAGAAATGTGTTGTTTAATGAAGATGCAGGCTGGAATTGGAGTGAGAATAGCTCAGATAGCAACAAAAATCAAATGCAAATACCATTAATGGAGGAAACAATTTCTACTTCAGTCAATGCACCTACTCCAGTCAGTAGTCCAGCAACAACACCATCAAGAAGGAGCTCAAGTTCTGCCAGTGAGTCTTCTGATGAGACGCCACCCAGAAAATTCAGATCATTGAGGGAGATATATGAAAATGATCAGTTTGCATTAATGGCACCAGACCCTACAACATATGATGAAGCTGCTGAAAGAGAATTATGGCAGAAAGCTATGAGAGAAGAGCTCAATGCCATAGAAAAAATGCAACATGGGAGTTGATTGATTTGCCGAAGAAAAAATGTTGTAGGCTTAAAATGGATCTTCAAGACAAAGCTTAATGCTGATGGAAGTATTCAGAAGCATAAAGCACGGCTAGTGGCAAAAGGTTACTCTCAACAACAAGGGATAGACTATGAGGAGACATTTTCACCGGTGGCACGATTCGAAACTGTTAGATTACTTCTAGCAGTGGCAGCTCAGCTCAAATGGAAAGTATATCAACTTGATGTCAAGTCAGCGTTTCTGAATGGAGAACTAGAAGAAGATGTTTATGTAGAGCAACCAGAAGGTTTTGTGATTCAGGGAGAAGAAGAGAAAGTCTACAAGCTGAAGAAGGCTCTCTATGGCTTAAAACAAGCCCCCCGAGCATGGTACAGCAAAGTTGATGCTTATTTCCAGCAGAACAAATTTTTCAGAAGTGAAAATGAGCCTACGCTGTATGTAAAAAGGCAAGGTACATCAGATTTCATTATAGTCTGTTTGTATGTTGATGATATAATATATATGAGCTCAAGTACTTCACTGTTAGAAGAATTTAAAGCCAATATGATGAGCAAGTTTGAGATGATTGATCTAGGCTTGCTGCATTACTATTTGGGGTTAGAAATTGTGCAAGATGAAGCTGGAATTTTTGTGTGCCAAAAGAAATATGCTGCTGATTTGTTGAAACGGTTTAGCATGTCAGATTGCAAGAAAAAGGTTACTCCCATGAATGTTAAGCAGAAGTTACAAGAAGATGATGGAGCTCCAAAAGCAAATCCAAACCAATATAGAAGTCTGGTTGGGGGTTTGATATACCTGACACACACAAGGCCAGATATCTCATTTTCGGTAGGTGCAATGTCAAGGTATATGAGTAATCCTTCAATGAAGCATTATGGTGCAGCTAAGAGAATTCTAAGGTACATTGCTGGTACATTGAATTATGGAATCTGGTACACTCATTCAGATCAATTCAAACTGGTTGGGTTCACTGATAGTGACTGGGCAAGCTCTCTAGATGACCGAAAAAGTACTTCTGGTAATGTATTTGGCTTGGGGACAGGAGCAATCACATGGATGTCCAAGAAACAAGCCACTGTTGCACTGTCAACGGCAGAGGCTGAGTACATTGCAGCTACTGCAGCAGCTTGTCAATGTATTTGGCTTAGAAGAGTACTAGAAGATGCACAACAGAAGCAACTTGAAGGAACTAAGCTCTATTGTGATAATAAATCAACTATTATCATGGCAAAAAATCCAGCATTTCACGGAAGAACAAAGCATATAGAGCTAAGGCATCATTTTATTAGGGAATTAGTGGCCAAGGGAGAAATTGTCCTGAAGTTTTGCAACACTGAAAGTCAAGTGTCAGATATCTTCACTAAGGCACTATCTGGTAAAAGACACATGTATCTCAGAAATCTGCTTGGTGTGTGCGACTTTGAATCAAGGGGGAGTATTGGAAGACTGATTCAAAAGTTAGTTACAGAAATATCTGCCGAAGCTTGAGGAGTAAGAAGTGGGCACCGATAAAATAGGAATCCATGATGTTAGTGGTTATTTTCCTCTGTTTTTTAATTATCATTTATTTCAATTTGCTGTAACTGAATATGTTATAAATTCAGTATTGTACGCATCAGAATTTGGCGAATATAATCAGTTTTGCTTCTCTACAGTTTCACTCTCGTAGGCCTTGCATCTCTCTGTCTTTTTTTTTTCAGTGTTCATTCCCCCATAAAAAAACCATCAATGAAAACAGCAGAAATGGCTAGTGACAAGAGGAAGAAGGAGAACGAGACGATCAAAAGGAAAGCTTTGTTTGAGTGTGAGCGTGGACAGAAACCAAAAGCCACAACTGATCAGTTCAAGTGTGGGAAATGTGGGAAGAGAGAGAGCATCTTTCACCAGATGCAGACTCGGAGTGCTGATGAACCTATGACTACATATGTTACCTGCGTTTCATGCAATCACCATTGGAAGTTCTGTTAGTTTAGTTATGAATTCGATCAAAGTGGTTGTTAATGGATTCGTTTGTAGCCGACGAATGATGTTTAGATTTTGATTCTCTCAATTATTACTTGTAATAACTGTTAAAAGTTCTATTAGTCTTGTTACTTCTAGCAATGGATCGAGAGGTATCATTGTCATGTGTACTGTAAATGGAGTTTTTCACTTGATAGAAACCAAATTTTTATCATTTTTTCAATTAATTTGTAAATTTAAAAATTTGGTTGATATATGCGACATGTGAATCGCAGCTGAACCTGAATCACTTTCAATTGATCTGTCTTATTTACCAAAAAAAAAAAAACATAAGTTAATCTTTTTTATTTATACAAATACTAGTGTTTTTGGGTATAATGCTCAGTAACCCTTGACATGTCGGCGAGAGGTTTTTCTTTTCTTTTTTTTCCTTCAAAAAGAAATATAATTATGCATACGGCGCTTTACTTTTTATTTTCAGTAAAGATCCTTGGAACATATATACACAAAATTTTCCTAAAACAAGAGAAGGGACCACACTAAAATTAATTCCATTCTAACTGAAATTCTCTTCTCGTATTGTTAAGTATGTATATTTAAACTTTACTTTAAGCTTATAATATTTGACAGAAAATTTAATTAATTGGACGATAAAAGATTTACTAGTGTGGATTAGCTGTGCTCTATTTTATGTAGAAAGTAAATTTCATTAGATTATGATTCTTTCATTTAGTTTGTGAATATGAAAAATATGACTGTGATTGTGATATGACATAATTAGAAAACCCAACAGGATCATTGTAAATTGATTGTTAAATTCTCTAATGCAAATAGTTAGTACATTTCAAGCTAAGGTATATTCTCAAATTGTTATAAAAAAAATATATTAATGTATTCAAGAATACATGCCATATAAAAAAGTGTTAAGGTGCAAATATATTCTTAAAGTAATTGCAATATTTATTTGAGTCCAAAAATGACCATAAAAATCCTATAAGAGTGTAAAAATGTCTCTGCCATTGATTTAAGAAATCTATGTTACTTTTTACTAGTCGGCTTTACATTATCATCTAATACCCTATTTGGTACGTGGAAGAGATTTTGATGAAAGTAAAACTAGAAGTGGAAATAGAGATAAAAGTAGAAGAGGGTTTAAAAGTGTATTTGATATGGCTACGAAAGTGTGATATAATTTTTTTTAATTAACATGTTATTTTAAATATGAAATGACAAATAAACCCTTCGTCAAAAAAAAAAATGTGGCCTCTACCCAGAACAGCCACAGCCACCAATGGCAATCAACATCAAGCTCTAGCTTTAGCCATGGAGGAAGATGATTACAAGAAATCAAACAGAAACAAGAATCAAATCCCGGCATAAGAAATCAAAACCAGAATTTAATTATTTTTTTGAAGAAAAAGAAATCAAACATCAAAGAAACATTCACCATGAAAATTGGAATCGAATAAAGCAAACAAGAAACTAGCGAAGAATGCATCAGAAACAAAAAAAACCAGCAAAATCAAACAACATGCACAATGGAAATCGAAATCGAAATTGAGAAGACATTATATTGAAGAAGAACAAGCAAAGAGGAGAACAAGCTCATCGTAGATCTGTAGCAAAGAGGAGAATCCATTAGATTAGTAACATTGATAGTCAACTCAGATATGCTAACATGTTTTGCAGGGGTAGCATCGTCCATTCTCGCCATCCACAATCCCTTGCCGATCATCGGCTTATTGCAGATCAGAGAGGAGAAAGAGGAAAAAATCATCAAAAACTAGATCAATTGTGAAGAACTGTCATCTGCCACCGTCCTCCTCGCATCCTCCATCGTCCTCATCATGGTCCTCGATTTTCAGGGACAAAGGCTTGGGTGGGGGGTTGGGGGGGGGGGGAATGGTCAGATTCACCGTTCCGTGAGAAGTGGAACTGGTTTTCAGGGGGGTTGGACGGAACAAAGTTCCATGAGGAAGTGGGTTCCAGCCCACCAAAAATACATATACCCTAGTTCTAGCTCCAATTTCAATTCCTGGCCTCTAGTTCCCTCCTACGAAACTAGGCATAAGTGTGCAAGAGTTAGGCATAATTGCAAATGAGATTTTCATTTCTAGGTGTTGAATACATGTGGCTTGTGACTTGCCTTCAAAATTTCCAGGTGTCATTGTTGATGTTGAAGATTTTGATGATGACCAAACCCGTTGATCCCGCTTATTTTGGATCACCTCCTATGATGTAATCTCAATGTCAAACTTACCCGTGCTACTAGCTTCAGAGGTGGAACTTGACAGGGAAAGCCAAGAGGGAAGCTCTAGCATTAGCTTGTCCTCCAACTCAAACCCAAGTTTTTCACATTTCTTTACTTCCTCCATGTCCATGCACAAACAATCTCCTTCCTCCTTTTGGCCTCGTTATAACCATCAATTGGTCACTTTCTCTACTCATCCATTGATTTGTGTTGTAAATATTGGGTGTGGGGGTGCCAAAGAAAGAAACCTCTTTGACATGCTTCTTCTTTCTTGTGGACAGACGTGTTATTTAAGAAATGTCTTGTGCCACTAGACCCGTCCCATACCCCGTCGTGTTTTATAAAAAGGTGGTTGTCAAAGTATAAGTAATCATTCTTGAAGTGTTCAAGCGCTCCTTTATCCTCTTAAAAACCTTTTTCGTCCTGCTAAGTTCATTTATTTTTTATTGTTCTGTTACCCTGTACTCTTACAGGAAGGGTTTATTTAACCTTTGGGAGTGCCGCTTTCTAAATTATTGAAAGATTATGGAATATCTCTTAAGGATAGTGTCATTGGAAGGAACTCGAACCAAATATTTTGTTGTTTTGCAAATTTTTCTAACAATTTTAAGAGATATTTCTCGCTGATCTGGGAAGCACGTCATAATGTGTGCTCTCCAATTCATGGGATTGATTACAAGGGAATTGAGATAAGGTTTAATTCTAATTCCAGCCTACCTTTATTTGATTTTCACTGGTGAGATCATGCATCAGTCGTGATCTGACTATTTTGATCAGGAATGATATTTTGGAAAAAGTTAAGAGAATCCTATATCGATCTGTATTTTTGTCTGATCTGAATATATTAACTAGCACTACAAAAAAACAGACTTTCGGCGACGACTTTCGGCGGCGACAAAAAAAGTCGCCGCTGAAACTAAGACTTTCAGCGGTAACTTTTTTAGTTGCTGCTGAAAGGTCACTGATGAAACCAAGACTTTCAGCGGCGACAAAAGTGTCGCCGCTAAAAGTGGACCTTCAGCAGCGACTTTTTTAGTCGCCGCTGAAAGTTCGCTCTTGAAACCAAGATTTTCAGCGGCGACAAAAGTGTTGCCGCTGAAAGTGGACCTTCAGCGGCGACTTTTTTTGTCACCGCTGAAAGTGGACCTTTAGCAGCGACTTTTTTTGTCGCCGCTGAAAGTTCGCTGCTGAAACTAAGACTTTTAGTGGCTACAAAAGTGTCACTGCTGAAAGTGGATTTTCAGCGGCGACTTTTTCGTGTCGCCGCTAAAAGTATAATATAATAATATATATTTATTTTACAATATTAATAAACAAATTCAATCTGGCTCAGCGACAAGAAGATTGGACACGAAAGGAGGCGGTCATGAGTTCGAACCTGGAAGAAGATACATTTAAGGTGAAATATTTGGACGATGATGTGGCAAGGAGGAGTGATGTGGTAATGACGTGGAGGTGGCTAGTGATGATGTGGCGGTTGGCGGTGATGATGTGGCCACCGATGGCGATGACGTGGCGGCCGACGACGATGACGTGGCATTGGTAAAACCAATTCTTCTTAGGCATTACTTTTAGCGGTGACAAAAAAGTCGCCGCAGAAACCGCTGAAAAGTCTTTTAGCGGCGACAAGAATGTTGCCGCCGAAAGTGTCTTTCAGCTTCGCCGCCGAAACTTGTAAAAGTCGCCGCTGAAAGTATCTTTCAGCGGCGACCTTTTTAGTTGCCACTGAAAGTTTTCAGCCACAGTTGCTACGGCAACGACTTTTCAGCGGCAACAAAAAACTTTCAGTGGCGACTTTTATACTTTCAGCGGCGACAAAAGTCAATTTTTTTGTAGTGTGGTTATAGGTTGCCTATGAGATTGGACTTTACTGTGGTTTTAATTTAGGACTAGTTTCATTATCATCTTCTTGACTGTTATTGTATGAGCCATGTAAAATTCTATTTTCGTCCGTTATCGCATGGGTATTTTGAAGAAATGATTATTATTTTTATCGGTTTCCAAATTATTTCTATATCCATTTGTTGTGTGTGCCTTTTTGGTTTTCTTTTATCCAGAGCTTCCCGATTTTCCCCTTTCATGTTCTGCGCTATTGTCAGGAAAACAAGGTCTCGAAAACATTTGTCCCGGTTGGCTTTCAAATCATAATTTTTGTTTTGATTTTGTCACATAATTATTTAAATGTTGTTCGCCCTTCTTGATTCTTCCGTCATTGAAAATCACTGCAAGAAAAAGGATCCTACATACACACGTTTCCGTTTTTTTTTTTTTGTTAAAAAAAACCTTTAAATTTGATTTTGGGGTTTTTCCGGTAAAATTATCACCCTCCATGTTGTTCGCTTCGCTGTTCAGGGTTTATTCAGTATTGTTCTCTCCTGTTATTTACTTTCGTCCGTCGGTGCGTTTATTTCCTTTCCATTGAAAGGAATTGTTGGCTTGGGTCAATGGATGTATTGATTGGGTTGATGGCATGAGAGCAATCGCGAACCTCCTATTATTATTTCTTTAATGTTTTTACTCCTCAATAATTGTTTATAATGGGTTGATGGTTTCATCCGGTGATTACGCGCGGGTTTCGGTGTAGTGCAAATATATCCTTGGTTTGGTGTCTCACAGATTTATATTATCATATTACCTTCGGTTCCAAATATAACAGTTAATTAACTAATTTAAATAGATTAAAAAATGAGTTGAGTTAGTTAGTTGTAATAAATAAGTATTATTTTTCTTAAAATATCCTTATTAATCAAATGCA